ATATCTAGCTAGTTTTAAAAACCAGAGGGAACCATATTAGTCCAACAACCTACTGACAAATTATACATAGCAGATAAAGAAATATACATCTACGTAAGCTTTATCTGAGAACAACTGGTCTTTGCTCAAGATTTATCTACATGACACATAGTGATTAAAAGTACCAGACTGGTAGAACTAACCTTCTGGGAAGTTTAACAGACAAACTTTGAGGCCTATACTAATTTGGTCAGAGGGAAATAAAGGACACTTTCTGCTCCTTGTCCTCCTAGGTCGACTAGTTCCAGGGGACTATGAGCAGCACTCAAAATGTCCTGTAATTGTGGTGGGTCACACGTCCTCTTGATCAAGGAGGCCAAGGAGACCCCACTAGATAGACTTGAACCAGTGTTCAGTCTACAAAGAGGAGGGTCAATACAGAGGAATCATTTCCTCCATGCTTCCAAGCAAAGCCAAACATGGTCAAGCAGGACCTTTGACTTATCTTCACATAGGTGGAACTGGTAAAAGAAAGGAGCCAGGGGCTCTTCCCAAGCCCTTGTGACTTCTGAGGAACAGATCCTCAAACGACCTTAAGAGTAAAAATAAATTGGTTTATCTGGGCTAACTGTATGGCCTTAAACACCCAAAAGGAAAGTATAACCAAAGATTAAAGGGGCCAATATAATTTTTTAAGAGTCCATATGCATAGTTAAAGGGTACATAACAAGCAACAATGCCAGACAGGAGATACCTTCTTTTGAGTTGTTGGCCAGGGTGGCCAAAGGGACTCCCAGGCAGTAACCCAGCACAGAACTGGGAAAATGAACAGCAGACCTCAATCTTATCTAAAGGAATACTGACAACTGCTGCTACATGAGGAACAGCTGACCCTCCTAAAACAAAAACCTCTAGATAGGCTGACTAGATTCACCAGAAGGGCAAGTAGTGGGGAATGGCTGGGGTGCTGACAACACAGCAGACAGCAGCAGGGATATCAGAGTATAAGGGCTCTAGTGGGGGGAGGGAGGCCATAAGAGGGTGCCATCTGGGAAGTGGGTGTATAGTTGAATAAGATGGTTTGGGATGTACTGTGTTATACATACATACATACATACACACACACACACACACAATCAAGAAATTTTAAAAAATGTATTATATTTGAGTTGGAAGTATGGAAATTTATATCATGCTAATTAGTAGCCTTGAGGTGATAAACATTACCATTGAAATCTACTGAATGACTATATAGACATACACAGGCACCAAGGATCCAAGTGCAACCAATAATCAGATACATACAGATTAGAGATGCATGCACCAAATTCTCAGTGTTAGTAGCAAAAACAGCGAGTCTTTCTGCAAGGAACAATATATTCTAAAATGAAATGGAGATCTTTTTTAAAGGTTAAAAACTCATTCAATTTAATGTCTTACAGGGCTTATACTGAGTTCAATATTGTATAACTGTATTAATTCAACAGTGAACCTAGAAACTTACAGCCACTTGTGAAAGAGATGTACTCTTGTTCTGGTGTGTTACTGAACATGTTAAAGCTGTAATGAAGTGTTTCTTCTAATCATGTAGTTATTAAAAATTTTTTTAAATGAATAAATAATGATAAAAAGAAAAAGATGGATTGCTAATTTAAATGCATCATTTTCCATAAGCATGGTTGGTATTAAAAATCAAGACAATAATACTAGAAATCAAGTCTAAATAGACATACCTTTCTTCCGATGTAGAATTAACGTATTCTCTGACACAGAGGAGGGCAGCATCTCGACACATTTCTTTCAGGTCACTTCCTGAAAATCCATCAGTTTCCTGGGCAACTTCTAGCAGGTCTACTTGCCTATCCACCTTAAACAAAAACGAAACATTCTTGTAAAATTATGTAAAATACTTCCAAACATCCATCTGAGAGTTAAAGAAAGTTAAGCATGGTGTAACAGCATGTGAGGGGAAACACTGGAAAGCCATCTTCAGTTCCACAAAAACTTAGAAACTTAATTTTCATTATTTGTTATTATGACTAAGACACACTAGTATCTACATCCACTTAAAACCCCTCTGAAATATAATGCTCTAATATTCTGCTATTTCAACACTAACTTAGCACTTAATTTTGTCCCACCTTCTTAGCTTACAGGAAAGCCAAATAACAGCTTGGGAGAAATTAAATCATACTGAGCCATAGATTGAGAAGAAAAAATGGTTTTAGTGTACAAAGTGATTCTTGGGTCTCATTTGCTATGCTACGCACATTATACATATTGTTTTCATTTATCTTGTCAAGTAAGCAGTCCAGTTTTCATTTTTTATTAAGAATCTTGAGACATGACAAGGTTAAACAGGTTACAGAAACAGGACCTGGATACACATAGCAGAGGTCCAACCTTATTTTCTCCCCATATAATCACTTGCCATCATAATTTACTTCCCCAGTACCTGAAATGGTACCCTTATTAGTTACTAAATTTCTAATTATGGAAGATTTAGTGTTTAAGTAAGAACATTAATTTTGCACAAGAACAGGAGACTTGAAAATAGTCTGGGTGTGGTAGTACACACCTGGAATCCCAGCGTTCCAGCAATCAGAGGCTGAGGCAGGAGGATCGCCCTGAGTTCAAGGCTAGTGTGGGCTACACAGGGAGTATCAGGCCAGCTAGCGGCCAGAGATACACAGTAAGTCCCTACCTCAAACAAATTTCTAAATAAGACATTAGGACAATATTACTACATCCATAAAAAGTTTGGAAGTGTTCCTTCTTTTTCTAGTTTATGGAATAATTTGGTAAGTACTGGTATAAGTTCTTCACTGAAGTTTTAGTAGAATTCTGTACTGAATCTACTGGGCCCTGTGCTTTTTATTAGTTGGAAGAAATTTTATTCCTGCTTCAACGTTGCTTGTTAGAGCTGTTTAAATTATTTATTGCATTAACATTGGTAGGTCATCTGCACATAAAAGTTCATTTAGTTCTTTTAGGTTTTCCAGTTTAGTGAATACATATTTTTAATATATGCCCTCATGGTTTTCTGAATTTCCTCAGTATCTGCTGTAATGTCTTCCTCTCCATCTCTAATTTTATTAATTTGGGTCTTATCTTTGTTTGTTCTCCATTGCTGTGACAAAACACTCTGACCAATACCAACTTGGGGAGGAAAGGGTTTATTTAGCTTATATCTCCCAGATCACAGTTCATCAGGGAGCCCAAGAGAGGAACTCAGGGCAGGAACCTGGAAGCAGGAGCTGGAGCACAGGCCATGGAGGAATGCTGCTTACTGGCTTGCTCCCCTGGCCCCCTCTCAGCCTGTTTTCTTATGCATCACAGGCCCACCTGCCCAGGGGTGGCACCACCCACATCACTCAACAATCAAGAAGATGCCCCATGGACATGGCCACAGGCCAGTCCAAGGAAGGCAATTCCCTAACTGAGGCTCCCTCAACCCAGGTGAGTCAAGCTGACACTAAAGCTATCCAGTACAGGTCTTCTCTTTGTTTTTGTTAATTTGGCTCAGGGTTTGTCAGTCTTCTTTATCTTCTCAGAGAACCAACTCTTGTTTCACTCATATTTTATATTGATGTTTTTTTCTATTTCACTAATTTCTAACTCAATTTTAATTATTTATCTGTCTACTACTTTGGGGATTGATGGTTCTTGTTACTGATGCCTTAAAGTGGCAATCAAGTTATTTGAGACATTTTTTTAAAAGATCTTATTTAATTTCATGTCTATGAGTGTTTTGCCTGCATGGCTGTAAGGGCACCATACCCCTGGAGGACAGAAGAGGGCATCGGATCCCCTGGAACTGAAATTACTGAAGGCTGTTAGCCACCATGTGGGTGTTGGGAGCCAAACTTGGGTCTTCTGGAAGGGCATCCAGTGCTCTTAACTGCTAAGCCAGCTCTCCATCCTGAGACTGACTGAATGGCTGGTTGGTTGGTTGGCTGGTTAATTGATTGATTTTTGAGACAGGGTCTCCCTGTAGCCCTAGCTGGCCTGAACTCAATATGTAGGCCAGGCTGGTCTCAATCTCACAGAGATCTGCCTACCTCTGCCTCCTGAGTTCTGAGCCAACATGCCTGGCAAGATTTACTTTTTGATGTAGATGCCTAAAGCAATAAACTTCCCTCTTATGACTGCCACCATTGTATTCCACAGGTTTTGGTTAACATTATGTTTTTATTTTCACTCAATTCTAGAAATTTAAAATGTTCTCTTCTTGATTTTACTGACTTATTTATCATTCAGTAACGTATCATTTAATCTATGAGTTTGTATATTTTCTGTCATATCACTTGCTATTGATTTCTAGCTTTATTCCACTGTGGTCAGATAAAATACAAGACTTTATTTCAACTTTCCTGTATTTTTTGAGACTTATTTTGTGACCTAACATGTGATCTGTTAAAGAAAGTTCTATGAGATGCTGAGAAGAAAATGTATGTTTTAGTCATTTGGTGGAATGTTCTGTAGATGGCTGTTAGTTTAATTTAATCTATGATATCATTGAATTTCAGTATTTCCCTGTTCGTTTTTTTATCCAGTTGATCTGTCTGATGGTAACAGTGGGGTACTGAAGTTATACTACTATGCTGGTATTAATCTGTGTTTTTAAATCTAGTAGTATTCATTTTATGAAAACAGAGAGCATTTGTTTGGTATATATCTATATTTCCAACTATACTTTCTTCTTGAAGGATTGATTGTTCCCTTGATTAGTATGAATTGATCCTCTCATCTCCTCCGACTAGAAGTCCATTTTGTCACATATTAGAATAGTGACACTGGCTTGTTTCCTGGTTCCATTTGCTTGGAAGACCTTTTTCAATCTTTTTACCCTGAGACAGCATTTATCTTTGATGGCAAGGTGTGCTTCTTGGAGGCAATAAAAAGAAGTATCCCTCAAAAAGACCAAAAAAAAGTATCCTATTTTTAAATCCAATCTGCTAGCCCACATCTTTCAATAGAGGTATTAAGACCATTAGTACTCAGTTATTCTTGAGAGTTAAGTATTGATCCCTATCATTTTGTTTATTTTATGGTGATTGATGTTTTCTAAGGTAAGGTCTCTTTTGGTTAACAAGTGTTTTAGCATGGTTTATTCCACCACCACGACCTCTCCTCTTAGACTCTTGAGTGTGTTTATCATTCTCTTCAGTTTGAAGTATTCCCTCAGCATCCTCTTGTGGCAATTTTTTGGTCAAATTCCTATAGCCTACTCTTACCATAAAATGTTTTTCTTTCTCCTTCATTTATGACAGGTAGTGTTCATTTTTCCAAGCACTTCTTGCTTTTAAGGCTTCAAGTGAAAAGCCAATTATTCTGAAGGTCCTGTCATGTAAAATGTGACTGGCCTTCTCTCTTGCAATTTTCTACACTTTCTTTGTCGGTATACGACACGGGGAAGTTTCTTTTCTAGTTCTGTCTGGTACTCTGTGTGCTCTTCTAACTGGATAGGCTTTTATTTCCCTATATTTGGGGAATTTTCTTCTATGATTTTATTAAAAACATTTTCTATGCCTTTTGTGTGAAATTCTTCTCCTTCTATGCCCATGATTCGTAAATTTTGCATTTTCATGGTATCTAGAAGTTCTTGCATGTCCCATTCATAAATTTAATTTACCAGTGACCCTGAATGAATGATAATTTTTTAAAGAGAGACCTGAAAAAAGACTTTTTAAAAGAGATCTTTTAAAAGTGAGACAGCATGGGGCCCAGTCTACTCCAGCTGTACAACTGTGACATCCAACAATGACAGGGTTATCTTTCTTAAATACAAGTGTTAAATGAAGAGAAATTTCTTATGTTTGATAAAAAGAAAACTAAACCTAGAGGTAAGAACTGTGTTAAGAAGTAACAATGAAAAAAGAAAACAACATACGGATAAATTAAACAGGATATACTACTAGTAATAAATTAATTTAGATTACAGAAACAGGACGAAAATGCTAGGTAAGAAGATATAAGACATGCGGAATATGTACAATAACGCAGTACAGCAGTGGAAAGAGGAGACAATAAACTCTATGTCTGCCTGTCATACAATTTTAAGATTACTACTAAGAGTGTCGAAGTTCAAAATCAGTAGAGGAAGCACAAAAAGGAAATACAAAATATAGGAACACAGTGAACATGGGATTGGAGTGGAGGTAGAAAGCAAAGACAAGGCACACTACAAGGAAAGGAAAGAACCACATTAAGAGTAAACAAACTTACAACTAAGCTAAGAGAGATAGTCGTATACATGTAATGAAAGCATAGTCATCCAAGGACTGAGTAGTCACATATACTTTGTGTCCACTTCAAAGAAAAAGGCAGTTGAAAATAAAAGGTTGGGAAATGATATGCAAGGCAAATCTTAACTGAAAGTAATGTACATGTTCTTTCAGCTGCATAGATCAGATTTAGCTACATCAGACTAAAAATGTATTTTTACTCGAAATGCCTGTTTTGGGAAAAAAGCCATTACACAATGACAAAAAAGATTCACCAGTAAAATAAAAACTCTGCACCTGCACACACACCTAATTATACTGCTTCAAAACATAAGCAGCAAATTAACATAATTATGTAGGAAAATGAATGCGCCACAATAAGAGAGTTCTACGTCTTGCTCATATACTGATAAACCAGTGGATTTTTTTTGCTGTGACCAGGCTGGTCTCAATCTCACATAGATCCCCCTCCCTCTGCCTCCTGAGTGGCTGGGATTAAGGCATGCACCACCACACCCAGCAAACAATAAATTTTTAAAAAATATTTTATTTATTATTTTTATTTTATGAGTATGAGTGTATTGCCTGCATGTAGGTAGGTACACCCTTGTCATGCAATGCCTGCAGAGGTCAGAAGAGG